CGTACGGCACTGCTCAAGGAACACAAAAATGCTGAGAATAGAGTCATAGAATGGCTTGGGTTGGAAGGGACCTTTAAAGGTCACCTGGGCCATCCCCCTGAAGTGAGCAGGGACATCTTCAACTTGATCAGACTGCTCAGAGCCCCAGGCCTCCAGTATTTCCATGCACGGGGCATCTACCACCTCCCTGGGCAACCTGTTCCTGTGTTTTACCATTCTCATTCAAAAAAAAATATTATTCTTTATATCTAGTCTAATCTATCCTCTTTTAGTTTAAAACCATTACCCCCTGTCCTATCGCGATAGGCCCTGCTAAAATGCTTGTTCCCAGATAAAAAGTTTGTCCCCAAGCTTCTGTAACCTGACCTATTTTTGTAGGTTTTCCCCCCTGGTTGTCAAGATTTTCTTTGTCCATACTTCTAAAATATGGGTAACACCCAAAACTGCAGTAAGTACTATGCTGGTGTTCAGCTGATTAGGTAACATTTTTGCATCCACTATTAAGATTCTAGCAAGGCATGAAGCAAACCAAAGATTCTGAAGCCTAACCAGCCTGGAACACTGAGTGGTACTTGACATCTCTCCCAGTGCTGCTCACTATCAACCGCTCTCAGTGACTATGTCAGGAACAAGTGTTTTGCTCTACCGTAAGCTATACCATACAGTTATGCTTTTCATAAATGCATAGTAAGACCCCATTATCAATGGGGCCTGCAAAGCCTGTCACAAGAATTAACATACATGCAGAATTAGACTGGCAAAGCTGACCACATAAAGGACTATTAAACACATTTTAGTACAGAAGCCACTTTCTGCAAAACAACTGGATTTTTTTAGAATAAGTATTTATATATAACCTATATCAGTTATGAAAACACAATTGTAGTTTTTCTTCTGTTTGTTGCTCAAAAATCTGAATTATTTCCCACCTTTTGCTTCGTGTTCTAAATACACAGCTGTGCTGGATTCAAAATGATTAAGTATCCTGCTCTCCTAACATGCCTTTCTTCTAGCTATCTAACAGTATAGCACCCCACCTCCCAGCCTGCAGATCATGTTGGCAGAGCAGTTCAGGCAAACGACTCCCCCTCTGACCAGTTTTACTCAAAATTAGAGACTGACAAAGATCTTCTATTTAAATGGAAATATGACTCAGTATAATGGAAGTGGGCCAGGAAATACGCAGCCCAGGTGGCAGATTTGAGGTGAAGCACTGAGGAATTTGGAGCAAGGTTAAAATGCTTATCCACAACCTAAGTAACAGTTTTACAAATTTAAACTAAAGAGAGATAAAATTATCTGCTCGATACTTAAAAGTGTCATTTTTGCTGCTGTGGGTTCCTGGCCTTACCCTCCTTAACAGGCTTCAGAATTCAGTATATACCATAACTGCTGGGTCTCATCAACCGTTTTAATCAATGTAATCAAGTCACATCAGACCAGAGTGGTCTGTAGTAATAGGTCTATACAGGCATAACTCATGCCAATATTGCTATGCCACAAGGAAACACAAAAGCAGGAAACACAAAAGCGGGAAACTACCACCACCACAGGCAAAGGTATTTGCTACCCATTATACTAGCAGAAACAAAGTTGACCACAAATAACACAGCAAGTTGCTTTATTTTCTTACTGTTAACATCAAGTTACCCTAATTGACTATAATGCTCCATTCCATGAGAGCATCTTACCCTTCTGCTGAGCTTATGGCACATACACTGAGACTTCCTTTGATACTCAGGCTCCTAGCTTAGAACATCCAGTGAGGACACCAAACTTTTGAGTACAAGACATTTTCCTTTCAAGGATATGAATCCACAGATAAATAAGTTGCTTCTGATGTTTTATGTATTATCTGCATTATGCTGTTCTCTACTTCCTAGTACTGAATATGCCTGTATATGCCAAATTACAATGGTAAACTTAAGCGACTCCAGGGGGCCAGAAAAAAAGACACAGATTTGGATCATAAAGCAAAATAGTCTCTCAAACAAGTTTTTCATGGGATCAAATCAATTATGGAAGTGCAAACCAGAAACTATAAACAATTTTGTATTTGGTGGAAGAGCTGTGTTTAAATAGATGTAAGAATACAAAACAAAAGATCCCAGAACGTAAAATCAACAACAGCTAACAGATTCATTGACCTTGACACATAACAATTTCTTAGTGTTTGTAACTTCTCAGTGTTCTCAACACAAGGACCTTAGGAGTGCATGGTATTTTGCATCTCATTGAGCTGTGCTGGGTGCAGCAGCCCTATAATCTGCACATCACCAACTGTGACGCAGCTGGTTACAACCATATAAAGTACAGAGCGCATTTACGCTCTCACTCAGCGCTAGGCCAATTTTTTCACTGCTGCCACAAAACTTTGCATTTTATCTATCATTGCTTTGCATTTTACATCATAGTCCATTAGCCATATTTTGCAACAAGGTCTAATCTCAAATGGCATCAAGTCCTCCTGGAAAAAAGATCTGGATTTTTTAAAGCCTGAAACCACATGAGCTCAGAAATGAATTAAGAAATCTAAGTTATATCATACTAAATGTTTGTCCCTGGTGTTCTCTAGAGCCACCTACTGGAAACACTTCTGTCTCGAATCTTGATTGCAGGGTAGAGTAATGACAGCCTAATACGGTTTCTGCCACTTCTATATATAACTATTACTAATCTACGTACCCAAAAAACAGCCAGCAAAATTTTCCTATCAGACTTTTAACCTTCAAAGATTAAAACAACACATACATTTAGTCTGCACACAGAAAAGCAGATATTCATAAACATTGTAGTAATTAGAAGGCAGCCAAACTGACCTGCCAACTATTGAGACAAAGTAAAATCTCAATTTGGCCTTGGACTTGCTGTGACAGAACTTAAGTGATGCCTTTTTACAGACACAAGACTGGTGGCAATCCATTCATAATTCTGATACCAAATCTCCTTCAAAAAAAGCCAGAGTTTGTTTCCAAGCTTTTGATAAACACTCCCTGTGTTATAAGTGTTTAATCACAACTGGAAATAATGCTAACCTTCCATTTTTCCTTATTTCAAGGAAGACTTTTTTTTAAAAATTTAATGAAGAGGGCAAAGAAAATAACTATGAGTGTATTTCTGAATGACTGAAAAGTAAGGAAAAACAGACTGATGAAATGGTGCATGAATGACTGTGAGAGAAGAAAGATATTTAAAAACAGAAGAGTGCTGTGGAATCTATTAACATCAAAGAAATCAAACCTCAGAAAAGAAAAGATTAAGCACCTAAAGGAAATCTATCCCTCTTTAAGAAATTACAAAAAAAAAAAGTGCTGTGAGAGGATCAGAACAGATGATCAGTTCAACATTAAAATTCACAATTCACAGCCACACAAGCTAAAAATTGAGCCAACTCTTTCCTCCTTTTTTTTTTTTAAGCCAACTGAGATTGGGTTTGTAATTATAAACAAAAGGTTGCACGTAGACAAATTTTTGTTCAATTTAGCATCTGTAAGATTTTGGGAAAACACCAACATCTTACCTCTGCAACTTCCTTCTGAAAAGTCAATGTCATCTGCGTCCTGCCGTAAGTAAAAGGTCCATCTTTTTTGGAAACATTTGCAAGCCATTTGATGATTAGAGGAGTTGAAACACTGAAGGGCAGATTCCCAATGATATGTACATCTGGTGGCTCTGTTAACATTTAATGAAAGAAAAACAACCGTCGAAGATTCATACAAGATTTTGCCATGAAAGAACACGTAAGAAAGATACGTGCATATCAACCTAGACTTAAAATATGAAAGCAATTTTTATCGTGCCACACCAAAATTACGCCTTTCCATTTATACCTGTCTTACACTGACAAAACAGTGTTACCATTCTCAGTAATTAGTTGGAAAAGAGTTGATAGGTTTAGGCCTCATTTAAATTTGAATAAATTAGTAGCTTTCAACTGATTTTTAGCTGATTCGTAGATTTCAGCTGAGCTACTCCTGAAGAGCAAAACTGTAATAGCAGCAAAGCTCTAACACTGTTTTCTGTGACTTTAAACTATGACTATTAGGTACAGAGTAAATAGCCAGGCTCATCCTTCTGTCCAACACGTTCGTCCCAGAGGCATTTTACTGAGTCTTCACAATCCCCAGAATGATCAGCTCAAACTGGACAGAGCTCTCCTTCTGTCAGAGTCCTCTGAAATCAAAAGGTGCTAGAGCAAGTACAAGCCTTAGTCATAAGAAGGGGTATCAATTGTTCAACTATATACTGTATCAGTACCTCTGTGTCGTACAACACAAAGCAGGCATTTCATTAGTGGGCATCCTTGCGTAGAAGCAGGAGTGCAATGGAAGCAGACAAAACAAAAGGAAGTGTGTTGTTTCTTAGACACTACAGCATTTAATAATCCAAATAAGAGATAATATCAAATTCAAGCTGGTTTTCTGGCACACTTATGTACTTTTTAGGCCGTGCTATTTCTACCATATCTGTGATATTACACATATATCAGAGATCACAGAATGATCAGGGTTGGAAGGGACCTTTGGAGATCATCTAGTCCTACCACCCGGCCAAGGCAGGTTCATCTAGAGCAGACTGCACAGGAATGTGTCCAGGCGTGTTGTGAACATCTCCAGAGAAGGAGACTCCAAAAACTCTCTGGCTATATGTTTCTGAAACCCATCAGCCTTTCAGATTTTCATATGACAATAATACAGAAAAATCTTATTTTACCTCTAATTAGTCAGGTCCAAAGATAATAATAGCATATATATATATATACACATACATGTCTAAAAAAGCTAAAGTTTTGAAAACTGCACTACACCTTCATACATGCATTTGCTCATAGCTTTGTTTTGTGAAGCACTTCCCCTTTGCAATGAGGCAAATACAGCACAGAATTTTTCAAGGTGAACATAATGTGGCATCGTCTTTCACGTCCCAGAGTCAGAAAGCTGTTTGCTGTTCTTCAGGCACTGCAGACAGCGACTCTACCTTAATTTAAGAAATTTGGAAAAGGGGCCTGGAAGGCCATCTCCAATTTATCTAATAATCACAAGTTTTAAAAGGGAGGTGAAGTCAAGTCCTACAAGAGCCTCAGAATTGGAAAAAAAAACCCACAACCTGCACTCCCCCACCACCCCCCCCCCAAAATACCAAAACACAAACCCAACCCCAAATCTCTGATTAGATTCTACTTCTGCCATAGATATCCAGCTGACACCAAAGCAATGAGAAAACTAAATTTGAGGACAAAGTCCCTAAAAGTTTCAAAGCAAGTTACAGAAATTTCTTCAGTGGAACAGCTGCAGTGGTAGCTTATGGCTTCTTCAAGAAGAGGAAGAAGCTAGGAAGAAAGTATACCATTTGATCTGCTTTTATGCTTTCCAAGAGTCATTCCTATACAGTCAAGACACCCTGAGGTTAATAACTGCAAAGCTCCTCAATGTCGACTAAGGTCAACGTGACACAAATGCCACTTTGGTTTTTTTTGGTCTTAGAAGAGGAAGATGATTCTTTGTCTCCTTCTAGAAAGGAAGAAAGTTAGCTTGTCTCTCTCTTCTTACCTTAAAAATGTACCAGAACAGAACAACACCTTCACTGAGTGAACTCCAACTATACTGGTGCACTTAAGACTAACTCAGAAGCCCTACAAATGAAATAAACCAAATACTAACCGTCCTCCCAGTTCCTTTTTAAGTGCTCTGGAAAAGCCTTCTCCATCTTATATGTCAGGATATCTCCATGAACAATGCGCACTTTTCCTGGAGCTGCTTCCGATAACATCTGTTGGTAAGCAAGCAAACAGAATTCACAGAAAGTGGAAAATGCTTTGCACTTTCAGCCACAGGAGGAATGAAGCCATTACTATATATCTATCTTAAATATACAAAAAACCTCCCACAATAGCAGTTAAAACTGAGCACACTATTAGTAAGTATTTACTTTCTAAAAGCAAACACTAACAAAAAAAGTTTAAGGTGTGATTCTGTAAGTGCTTACTATTCACAGCTGTAGAATTCTCAATAAAGGGAATTTAAACCTGAAAAGACTGCTAAGGGTCACTTCAACAAGGATAATTAACAAACCCTGGGCCACTAATAGGACCACACCTGATTTATGTAATGATGCAAGCAGTAGGGTTTGAAAAGTTTTTACATCCATTATCTATGGAAACAAGGCTCATCTTGTTTATTCTGTCTCCCCTGACAGCTATAAGGTCTATTATCCAATTTTAGCCATATGGATACAAGGCTGCAGAAATATTCAGCTGTTTTATTTTACATAAAGGGGGCAAAAGATTCTCTTAATACTCCCTGTAATAATCTGAAGTCACACCATTAGAAACCACAGTGTTCCCAAAAACGAGTCAATGAGTACTAGTAGGGAAAAATCCCCCAAATTTGTATCGTTTTAGACATTAGAAAACCCACTCTGCTGTCAACTTCCCTATCCCACTTCCACAGCCTATCTAGAATCATAGAATCATAGAATGGTTTGGGTTGGAAGGGACCTTAAAGATCATCTAGTTCCAACCCCCCTGCCATGGGCAGGGACACCTTGCACTAGACCAGGTTGCTCAAAGCCACATCCAGCCTGGCCTTGAACACTTCCAGGGATGGGGCATCCATAACATCTCCGGGCAACCTGTTCCAGTGCCTCACCACCCTCTCCGTGAAGAATTTCTTCCTGATATCTAATCTAAACCTCCCTGTTTTCAATTTGTACCCGTTACCCCTTGTCCTGTCACTACAGGCCCTTGTAAAAAGTCCTCTCCCAGCACCCTTGTAGGCCCCCTTCAGGTACTGGAAGGCTGAAGTTAAATCTAGTATTTAATAAAGGCTGAAACGCAAACTCAGAAACGTCTGTAGTTTGATGACCAATTCTTTCATTTCTGGTGTCAGTTTACAGACTCAAAGTTATTTCAGTTTTTTAGTGTTGTACTTATTTTTTCTCTTACAGTATGAAACAATGCACAAAGAGCACAATTCAAAAGCAAAGTCAACACTGAAAAGATTACATTTGGGGATATTTATTGTTCCTAAGTCAGAATAATGAAAAATGGCTTAAAGAACAATTTTGCTTTTGCACAGAAATCCAAATCCATAAACAGCTACGTGCTAGCGGCTTAACTGCTGGAATAAACTGCTCACCATTCTTAGTTCCATCTGCAATCTGAATCATGCCTGTATGTACACTCAGAGGCACAAACAGCTTTTACAGGTCTCGGAGCCAAAGGAAAGTGCTGCTTTCTCATACTGTTCACAAAAGATGTGCATGAAATTTTTTTTGAGTAAAAATTTTTTTCCTCCCAAAAGCCTAACTAAAAACTAAGCATTCCTACATGCTTTAACTGCAATTATTTCCAAGTAGAAAAAATAAATCTAACCTCAACTCCAAACCACTTAACAGATTTTTCAGCATTACGCTAGCAATTACATGGCATACAAATTCACTAATCTGCAACGATTTGTCAAATCTTTCTTTGAAGTTGTTATAAATGCTGTAACAGGATGAAAGATAATGCAAGAAAAATAAAATTAGAAAATAGCATAAGAGGAAGTAGTCAGCTACCTACACAATAATGGATTATTAGCGTATGTTATAATGTTTTTTAATAATAGTTGTCAAGAGGAGTTTGGAGGTTTTTGAGTATCACACAACATAACTGAGAACTGCATTTAATTTGTGAGCAGAAAAATCACAGTTGACTATTTCTAATTTGAAATAAAGACTCAAGAAACCCACTGAAACTTTCTTCATCTTAAAGCCAATGTGTGCAGAAACACAGTCCATGGGCTCTTGTGCACCAAGCACTTGAGCCAAGTGATTCTCCATCATACAGGTACTCTTGTTCTTCACACAAAATCAAGAAGGCAGGAAGAAAACATAAAGGGCATAGTTAAAAAAAAATCTAATGATGTTCCTGGAAGAATTCTATATTCAATCCATTTTCTGGCTGAGAGTGCTCTTTCTCTCCTCGTAAATCTTTCTGGCCTCACAATTATTAGGGCATAGGGAGGTTGTGACTCCTTAAGAGTGAGAGAGAAGTGACAGGCTCCCAGCTTGTGCAAACTGTGTACACCTATGTTCTTCACTATGTTTCAGTTTTGCAGTAAAGAGGATCCCAACCTCAGTTTTGTGATAGAGACCACAGCCTGAAAAAGGGGTAATAAAAAATGCTGTACACATTACATCAGTGATTTTATAAGTATGTAAAGACACATTTTTAAGTAAGAGACCCCAGTTGTTATTTTAGTCTCTGACATTTTCTGTTATTCAAATCTCACCCTTTTCGTGAGCATTTGAGAGAGCTTTTAATTGGAAACCAGAAAAATATGGGTATTACAACCCACATTATCACAAAAGACAGATTCATTGTTATGTATCTTCTTATATGGAGGGAAAAAACAATAGCAAATTGAACACTAATTGATGTAACATATTTCTTGTTCATTCACATACATGGTTATCGAGTCATAGCATCTTTATATTCAATAACCTCATTCAGACATATTTATTTCCACTGTGAGGAGGCTGCTAATTAAAAATAATAACTAACACTAATTCCCTTGCATAGTAAAGATAATTACATACTAAAAGCTCATTATAGACCCTGAAAAGTATACTTTTAATAAAAGAAATCTATTGTAGTGGCTGTGTTTTGGAAGACCAGAAAAAACATTTAAGTACTTAAAAAACTCTGCTAACTGAAGTATCATTTAATCTCAAATCCTCTCCAATCCCAAAACAGTTCTTAAAATGAAAATCAAAAAAGCAGATTTGCTACCTCTCAAGAAAAGTGAGAAGAATGTTTCCATACTTTGTAAGATCAAGATGGCATACTGTAGATTACCAATGGCTAATCTTACAAAGACATAGTTACCCACCCACATATTCAGGATTAAGGATATGCCCAGTTTCACTCGTATCCTACATTATTATTGTCCTACAAAGAGACCGTATCAACTCAAGTGAAGCATCTATTTGTTTTTACTGATGATCTACTACAGAGGACACAGTGCAATATAAGGAAAGCCCTTTGAATTGTTATGATTCGAGGTCAGAGAGGCACAGGAAAACAGTCAAATCTGAAGAGATTTTGGACACTGTTTTTCTTGCTACATTTATGCAGTCAAATTCCACAAACATGGAAACTTAATAGCAACACAGTAGCAATATGTGGTATTTGAAAAATGCCACAGTGCCTTGTCTACTTATACCAACTTCAAAGAAAGGAACAGAAGTTTAAGAATGGAATTTTTTGAAAATGTAAAATAATGCTTGCTTTATTCTTCTATATTGGGGTGTTGAGCCATATTGAACTACATTAACTGGAGATATACGTTCACAATTTTGTAAGCTTTAAAGGATAATTATTAGAATTCAAATGAAAAATAAGACCAAAGAACATTATGTTCAGCCTTCACACTACTATTTTACCTGCATGGATACACCTTTAAAGCGGCTCAAACATCTCAACCTGAGACAAACAGGCAGGCCTCCCACAGCCTTAATTTAGTTGCAGGTGCAGATCCTGAAGTGACCATGGATATTTAAATGAAATGGCATACGAGAAAGCAGGAATAATTAATTGCTATGCTGCGTATCTTCAGGCAAGTGATAGCTCTGATTTAAGCCAAAGCAGCAAACCTATTTTCAGTGCTGAGATCTCAACGAGACACTTGGAACCTTTCTGTGTTCTTAAAATGTTCTTATTCAATGCTATGGATGCATTTATACGAACTGTTCTCCAGATGGTACCTGTAATCCTGGAATAAATCGAGCATCTTTTTCAATTAAAAGGAGTTGTTCAACACCAGCACTGAGAATGGATCTGGTAATTCCTCCTGGCCCAGGGCCCACTTCGCAAACATGGGCATTTCTGAGTGCGCCAGCTTGTTTCACTATCTTGCCTGCAAGACACGAAGCACATACTAGGCCTTTATTCTCCAAAAGATACAGGCTACTAAGATAAACTCATTGTTTATTGTTAAAGCACAAGCATGCTTATCTCAAAACAGACACAAACAGTGACACATCCCAGTTAAATGATCACATGCCTGCTAGACTGCACAGAATGGAGATTTGTTTCATACAAGATAGTCGTTTTAAACAGCTGAGTGTATTTTCAGTTTAATGTCTTTAATATGCATTGTTGCTTAGTACAGAATCAAGTAAAAACAGAACAGTATTTCTCATCTGTTAACTAGCAGTATTATGCTCCTCCTGCAAGTAAGCACTCGTGTTCAACATCCTAAAGTCTCCTTACTTATAAGGGTATTTCACTGTAGCACCTGTTTCAAGGAAATTTAAGGAACAAAGAAGATACGGTGAAGCTATACCAAGATTACAATAGGTGTAGGGCAATTTTATGAGGCAGGAGCTAGAATAAAGTAAGAGTTGGAATACAGGCAACTGGTAGTTAGAGAAAGTGGGGTAGTTGAAAGATGAGGAAAAATACCTGTACATAAGTGGAGGATACAACATTGAAAGGCATTACAGCCAGGAAAGAAAACAGACCAATGTTTGAAAAAAGGCTTAAAAATGTAGCTCATGAAACAAGGAGATCCTTAGGAATCGTGGAGACAAGGATTCTGAGAGAAATTACGCTGCTCACTCCATAATATCTTAAGTATGCAATAAAAATAAGAAATATCTGAAGGCTTGTCTACTTATAAGGTTTTACTAGATGCATGCAAACATTTTTATTCCAGAGTAAGAGTCTGGTTATTCAGGAAGTGGAACCGAGTTTCATGCTCACATATTAAATCTTCATCAATCTGAATCTTCAAATGTAATCAAATCATCAACTACACGAAGCTGGCACTGCATTTATTACTGCAAAACCCAACCACCATTAGGACAGTAAAGTAACTCACCACTGGCTGAACAGTGCCAGCTTTGTCACCCATTGCTGGCATGCAGCTCAAGAAAACTGAGTTGTTCAGAACAATGAAACTGGTTCAAAAAAGCGACAGCATTTCTGATAAACGAAGACAAATGACCTTCCCAACCACAATACATAGTAAATTAAACTGCACAGTGAGTTACAGCACTTTCTATAATACATAACAATCGAAAAAAAAGCCACCCACCTCATGTTTTGAGTCAAACTTATAAATTATAATGGTACCTGAATGGTAAAATTACTACTAAGACTTGGATTTTTGCATTTCAATCAATACCCCATACTTTATATAGCAATAAGGAATAATTTTTGGGTAGAAACTATAAACGATCACATTTTCTAAGAATTTACAAGTAAAATCAATTTGTCTAAATTAAAACCACTTTAAAAAGAAGTCTTTAAAGGTTTACCCCTGAGCTACCATTAGTTTGACAGATGTCATCATACAAACATCTCCTTTGCTAGAATCTGGATTCTGAAGAAAACTGGGATGCCTGCTTTATAGTAGCTAAAGATATTAGAATAAAATATTTAACCTGTCAATCGCAAATCCAGTAGAAAGTTCTGGGAAAGTTGTTTCTGTGCTTTAAGGCGAAAGAGTTTAATTATCTCTCCAACAGTTGGCAGGGGAGGCAGATGGAAAGTTGCCACCTTTCCTGGAACAGCCATAAGACAAAAGTCTTGTTCTTTCCTCCTAGAGAAACATTGAAAAAATTATTTCCATATATGCAATAAATAATAATGTACTTAATATTCAAAGCACTTCTAAGTTTACAAATGAAGTTTCAAGGCGAGGCTGGATGAGGCTTTGAGCAACCTGGTCTAGTGCAAGGTGTCCCTACCCATGGCAGGGGGTTTGGAACTAGATGGTCTTTAAGGTCTCTTCCAACCCAACCTGTTCTGTGATTCTATGATCTACAAGTCATCATACACATGCTAAATTTTAAGCATCAGTATTTTGACTACTGTGCACAGTGCTTATGCTCAGCAAGTATCTGTGGGATTTGTGCAAGTCTTGGTTTGCAGCTCTGCCAAAACATCAGAACTGTTCAATGTCAACCTTTCATTACTTTAGAAAAGAATCATTAACCTGCTTGAATTCATGGCATGGCATAAAGACAGAATGTACGTAATGGAAGTGTCCCTGAAAAAGAGTTAAAAGATTTTTATTGCTCATCACCTTCTAAGCAGAGGTAAAGCCAGGAATCCCAGTTGTAACCTATGGCATTAGCGAGTTTTAAAAAATCTTTTAACTTTCAGCGTTACAAGACATAAGGTTTCGCCTCCCTTCCCGCACCACCAGCCTCTGCCTCACCGCCGCAGACCTCAGGGTCAGCAAGGCTCAGCACCAAGCTCACAGCCCGACTCGCCACGGCCTG